AATCCACATTTCACCCTCCAGTCCCTTTCATCTATGGTCAATGTAAGAAATAAATAGGTAAGAGAAATCCCTGGACATATTTGTACTATAGAAATAAAATACTTTTTAAAGACTTAGGAACGTGCCAAAATATGACCAGCTGACTGACTGACTGACAAGTTGGCCATCTCTTCATACCTTGAGAAGTAAAACAGTAAAATACATATTAACACGTAGGCGACCAAAAACATAAAAACGCGCTCAACTGATGCTGATTATAAACGTGACATAGTTGAAACAACAAAAGGAAGGGCAGTTTAGAAAAACATAAAATAGGGTGAACCGATCTAGTGTAAGAAAAATGATCAAATATGCTTAATTTTATAAGTTTTATATTAGTACATAATACTTTATAATTTAATGAGCTTAACTACTTAAAGGACTTCAAAGTTTTAAAGATGAACAAATTTATTGAAATTTGTCTGGGTTTTTGTGTCTCAGTTAACCGGTTTCAAAAAAACAGAAAATTTTAGTATAAAATTAAGTTTTCGTTCTCCTTCAGAAAATATGTTTCTCATCATTAAATTGCCTAAATATATCGCAACCAATGTAAAATTCAATATAATGCGTAGTTACAAAAAATCACATTTTATATTTATAATTGGTTTATGATATCATATGGTCGACCACATCATACTATAATTTCTTACTTCTTATAGAATAGTTATTTTGTATATATTACGATACCATTATAAAAATTTTCAAAACTTTGTACACAATATCTAATTTTTAATATAAACTGAAAATAATCTATGTATTTATTTTTCCTCTTGTATACTCACGCCCAACATTTGGGATCGATGCGCGGGCTTTTAACATAAAAATTAATTAAATTGCTCTATTAAAAATCGATTTGAGCTAAAAAAAAAAAGGTTTTTCGATCCACCCTAATATATTTATATGTATGTGTCCGAGTTCATTTGTATTGTCCACGTTAACGAAAGAATGTTACAACAACATTGTTGGACGGACGAAATTAAATTATGCCTGGGTTTATGTTTTATTTTTTAAATGAATGAATGACGGAATGAAAAAATGAATGATACACGTAAGCAACAAATTGTTTCTTGTCGAAACGCCATCTAAAACGTCGAATGTGGGTATGTATATTAGGGTGATAACTTTTGTACAATTTTTGAAAATTTCAAATCGGCCCTATCTATTCTATATAGAGCATGAAAAAGTACGTCGAAAAAGTATATCCCTTTTTCTCGAGCGTTAAAAAGGTTTCCGCGGCAAATGCTTTAAAGTTTTTAATAGAAAATCCGAAATTTTTGATATAAACAAGTGTCAATGTTTACCCACGACATTTAGTACATGAAGAAAAAAGCAAAGTTAGGGGCTGCGGTTTATCCCTCTTCCAAATTTAATACCCAAACATGTAGATTATACTATTAAAAATGCATATAAATTTGTTTGTAATTGACTTTAGAAAATCGAGTTACCGATTGGTTATCCCCTAATGTACATATGTATATGTGTAAGTGCTGAAGTATCAATGTTTGAATGAAAACCAGGGACGGAACATTTAATATTATTCATCAATTGCAATATAATAAATATAATAAAACTTTTTATAAAAGTTGTAAATCCAAAATTCGGTGTTTTTTGAACTGAGTACTAGAAAATATGTGTTTTAATATGACACATATTTTCTAGTACTCAGTTCAAAAAACCCCGCCTTTCATATAGTTTCATATAGAAACTAAATATTTAGTTTCAGTTCAGATGAGAAACATATTAACACCCACTTTATATATCAAGTTATATTTTTCAAATCCGGCTATCTATTTGAAAATTATTAAAAGAAAGAAAAATGTCATAAAATGTTATATTTTACACAAAACGAAGTTTTTTATTTATGCCGGTCTTGTTGTATATACATATGTATGCACTTTCTTCCGAACTAAGTGCTAAATGAATTTAAAAATCAATTAAAAAAATTAAATATCGGATCCAAATATGTATTATGTTCCGGACACTGATTCCTTTGGTCACGTTAACAGCATTTATTAATCGAAAGTAGGTCCAAATTCTCAATACAAAATTTAAAAAACAAATATTGATTTGTCTTTTGAGTCAAATTTCTCAAGAAAACTTTTTCATTACTTTCAAATTAAAGTGAATTTTAATCTGTTTGAGTTCGTTACCATTTTAAAACTCAATTATTCATGCCTGATAAGAAGAAAGTACAACAAAACAGAATATTATAAATAATAACCTCTAATATAGCATAACTTTAGGCTTGATACAAACGAAATTCTAAAAGAACCCTGCCAGCAACTCAACTAACTTTAAATGCATTAAATGCCGACTTTTTCATCAACTAGTTATGGTTGATTCTTGGATTATTTTTAATGGTGCCAACTGACTATTTTTACATGGCGATGTCCTACGCAGTAGTCAATTGTCCGATTCTGCATGACTTTTCAACCAGCTTAAAGTTAGTTACTAAAAAATTAGCTTAAAGGTATCTCTTTATTAACTAACTTAAAGTTAGTTGCAGAAAAGTCAAGTAATAGTTTTCTTTTGTATTCCCTACTGTATTAATTAATTACATTTTAATTAAATATATTTAAAATTTAACTACTAGTTATCTAAATTGCATTTCGCTTTAATACAAGTTATGATATTAGTTTGTTAAAATTAATAGACATCAGTTTTCTGCATGGGAACTAATAATAACACCGGTATCCATAAAATTATGAATGATTTGTTCATTATTTCCATGATTCCCATTGATCCAAATCTAAAATAAATTTTAAAATGTTATGTGTGGTGTTAACTGTTAATGTATTATATTTACAGTATTAATCAGCAGAATTTAGAATTTAGGGACCGAGTTTTGAAATATTTAACCTTTCATAATTAATTTTTCCAATTTACTGACTCTAATTTCACAACGTATACAAGAAAATGACAAAAATGTAAAACAAAATTCCAAATAATAAAGAAACATGAGAAAACATGTCGAAACAAAATGCTCTCCAGATAATTTTGGGGTACTCCCGCATTATATGATAGTTAGCTTGTAGCTAGTCTTTAAAAGTCAGTTGTTTACGTTAATAAATACAAAATTTTGGAATATTTCTGCATTACATTGTTTTTTGTTTATAGTCAGTCTACTAAAGTTAACAAATAAAATCATAATAATAGAGAAACAAGAGAAAACATGTTGAAATACAATTAATTCTCTCCAGATAATTTTGAGGCACTTCTGCATTACATTATGGTTAGCTTGTAGTTAGTATTTAAAAGTCGGTTCTTTACGTTGCCAAATACAAAATTTCGGGACAGCTCTGCATTATATTGTAGTTAGCTTATAGTCAGTATGTAAAAGTAAACTAGAAGTGAATTTTTCTCGTAGTCGACTACAAAATTGCTGGCAGGGAAATTTTTAAAAACCATTCTCACAATAAAAAGTTCACCCTCAGTATGTTGATGAGAAAAGTTTAAGGTTTCACCGTGTATGTGTGTATGTATATGTTTAATAAACTCAGGTAGTGGTCATGGAAAAATTTTATTAAAATTACAAAAATATCTTACACACATACACATACATAAATGCATACATATAAAAATACATATCGTTTATTTACTACAAGACTAGCAAAATTCAAAATTCGGATATTTTGAACTGAATAATATAAAATATATGCCCTTCTAAGGTTTTTCATTTAGTTTTATCTATTTTCAAAAATTTCTACTATTTTCGGTGCGAGATGTATTTTTGATTTTAAATGTTTAAACTAAAAGTCATGGTTATACGAATATTCATAATTAAACATTCATAAAAAATTTTTATTTTATAAACAGTTTATAAAAAAAAATATTTTATAAACGGTTTATTAACCTTTACTATCTAAATCTCGTTTAATTTTTCAAATCCCATGATTTCTTTATAATTTATTTAAGAAATTATGAAATGTCATAAAATATTCAGAGCCGTTTTCCTCGAAACGTACATTCTTTTGGAGTGTGTCAGTCTTGTTGTAAATGAGAGATACATTTATGAAATATATTGAAAGAAATTTTTTGTTTCGTATTTTTTATTATAGCAGAATTTGTTTATTGTTTAGTTCTCTCTGGCATATAAATTTAAATTAAACTCTCCTCTAGTAGGCATGATTAATGGAAAAAATTAAAATTACATTTCATTTTAAGTGACATACAAGAGTAGTTTGTCTTTTTTCATTTACCTTGGACATATACATACATAAATATGTATGTATACTTTTAATACATTGTATTCTTTTTTCTACGTTTTATGAATAAATATGATTTAAGGTTTCTCGCCTTCATTCATTCATGCATTTCAAAGGGACATTATTTTTAATAAAATCGTTTAATATTATAAAATTTAATTTTTTATTCTTGAAAGAGATCCCCAAGTGTTTCTTAAGTTTAAGCCATGAAAATATATTGTTTAAATAGCAAATACGAGAGTTTAAAGCGAAATGGAACTCTTAATGCCAAACAGAAGTTTTTAAACATAGTGAAATTCTCGCCATGATCTTAACATCAAATTTTTAACCCTGTTTCCAAATAAAAATATGCTAATATTGATTTTTTATATAATACGATGTATTTCTTATTTTTGTTTTTAAAATAGACATATTTCCAAATGTTTTTTTTATTTTACATTAAACAATTCATTCATTAATATTAAAATTTTTTCATAAATATTATTATTTTATAAAAATTATAGAAATATATTTGGCACAAAAATGACTATAGCTTATACATACTACAAAAGTATACTTTATATACATATGTTTATAAAATTAGAAATATAAAATTGTATTTTACATTTTTTAATTTTAGAGTTTTTGTTTTGTATTTTATTCTCTAAACAAGACTTGAAACAAAATTTATTAAATACAATAAATTGTCAAATCCTAAAGGAATGTACATATAATTGTTGTTCTTTTTAATATTTTTACTTCTCCCTGGTTTCTTGCTTTTTTTTTTTTTGGTTCAGAAACAACTCTTGGATTTTTACATTTTTTTCTTTCTATGCAAATTTCTGGGCGAATAAGAAATAAATAAAAGTTGTATTTTTCTGTTGTAATTGAACCTTAAATGTTAGTAGAAAAAGCAAAAACAGAGTCAGAAATAAAAAAAAAAACTAAAAACTTGTATGACTTTTCTGCACGTTTAAGTAAACGCTTAAACGTGGCTGACGGAACGTGACGTTGCTCTCCTGACTGAACTTGAATCACTCACTGTCTTTGTGTGTATTCGTGAATTCAAATCCTAGGTTGATTCTTTTTCCTGCTGCTGATGTTGTTGTTTTTGTTTAGTTCGTCCATTGTTCATCTTAAGAACCCGTGAGTAAATATCATTTCGTGTGGGCAGGTTGTCTGTGTTTTTTGTTAAACATAACTTTCCTGACGTTGTAGTTGCATTTTAAATTTCTTTCCTTTTTCCGCATGTTCTGGATGTAGTTTGTGTTGTAATTGTTCATCTCGTTCGTTTTTTGCCTGCTGCAATAGCTGGTGGGTTAGGAAAGAAATGTCACGATTAGAATTTGCATCCAGTGAGAACAATTGTTGTTTTGTATCCAGTGTTGAATTCAGTTTGAAGAATAAGGAGGATGGCATGTGCTTCTGTTGCTCCAGCAGTTCCATTCCCAAGACAGAGTCCTGTACTAGACGTGTCAATGTGTGCAAAATTGTTTTGATACAACGTTTTTGGGCTTCGCTTTCGCCACGAGAATTGTAGCTCTTAAAGAATTCCGTTTCGTATGCGTACGTGATGAAATTTATGATACCGGCATTGACCAAATGGCTGTGGCATTTCTTATTCAGAGACATATTGTACAGCATGGCAACGATTTGTTCCTGCAAAAGAAAAAAGTTACAAAGCGATGATGAAATTTTATTATACACACAGGTTTTATTTGTAAGAAACTTAAATCTATAGATACAAATTGTTGTAGTTCATTCACTACTTCATCAATAAGTAGGCAAATGTGAATGTATGTATGTAGGAAAAAGTAAGAAACTAAATGGAGGGAGGGTGATGGAAAATAAAATTCTTAATATTCTCAAGTAAACGGATGAAAACAACGTGCCAAAGATTGAAGAAAAATTGCTAAACAAATGTTTCAAATAAATTTCACAAACTTTATACTCAGGCAACATAATATCGTTTGTTCTCCCCATCCTTTTAGTAGGAGAGAATATATTTTATGGATCCTGTTGTAAGTTGCAAGTCAAGTTAATTTTAAGGGTCCATATTTAATGTTAGTATTTCGTTTGTATAATAAGAATGCTTGTAAAAAAAGCTTTCAATAAAATTGAATATTTTTCAAAAATGGTGCAATTGAAATGATTGTGTAAAATTTACGAGCATGATGTACCTACATAACAAATATACAATATATGTACATATGTATGTACAATGTACATAATACGTACATTTGAAATACAATTATATGAAATACATATAAAAATACTTACATAGAGGAACACGTTTATGCCTTTGTCTCTCTGCTCCATGGTAGTTATCAATTTGAAAATAGTCTCGTGTGACATAATGGAGTAGTGGGAAGTGATTTCCATGCGTGATAGATTATTCAAGGCTGCCGTACACAAAAGCAAAGTTTGCGGGCATTCAGTGAATATCAAGAGTTGAGTGAGGCCTTCTACAATAGTCTCAATGCAGCCTTTCAAGCCACTAACTTTGTGCTCTGGACCATGCCAGGCAGCTGTGATTTGGGTCAATAGCGATACAGCTTCGCGTCTCTCCATATCACCCCGTTTTATGTCATTTTTTGGTTTTTGAGCGCCAGCCACTTGCAAAATGTCTCGTATAATTTCAATGCCCCCACAAGAACCCAACTGAGCAATCGGCTCGGGAGCACAGCAGATGGTGGCCAGAGCTCTTAGTGCTTGAGCTCTTACCGAACTCAATTTGTGATCCAAACAAACTACCAGCAACGTTCTCACAGCCTCTGTTTGCACGAAGGCATTGGTGAGCGAAGCAAAACCATCATAATCGATGTTCATAAGGGTCGCAATCATATTAATGTTAGCTTTCAACATCAGATCGCAACGACCATTTTCCACACTGATCACAAGAATACGCACAAGTTTTTCATACACTTGTTGTACGCTGATTAGAAGAATACGCTTCAAAACTTGCAAGTCTTCTAACAAAGACTCCAGATTGATGTAGTGATGATTCTCCAGAGAGTAGCGAGTGTCCTTATTGACCATGCGTATTTGATCTAAGTAGTCCTCGTAGCGCTTTCGCTCCAAGCGTGAATCGGCAAAGAAAACCGATCTGCGTTCCAGGATGAGAGTGAATTCAGAAACGTGATCTAATAGTTGCAAGGATCCCGTTAGAGCGTCTTGCAGGGAAACATTTTGGGCACCACCTAGCATACGTTCTACTTTTTCAAACGAGCCTTGCATGGAAAGGGCTTTCTGCTGCAGTTGCCTTATAAACTTGGCTACTGTATTTGTTGTGATTTGTAAGTTTTTGAAAGCTTCCTGAGCTATTGATTTTGTTTGTAGTGTGGACATTACTTCGTGGTCATAGGACATGCGCAGGTCATCTAACCACGTTTGCACATCCTCTGTATGACCATTCAATAGCGTATTGTCATATTCTTGACAGGCGAATAATGAGGGAAGAGTGCAAGCAGGTTTATGAATTTTTAATGTTTTCGGAGTGCTGGTGTTGCCGCTGAATCTGGCATTAAGGCGTAAGGGAGAAATTCCTTGTTCTTCCATTGTAATGCTATTATAACTGGATTCCATGGGCCCACCAAGGACAACAGTTTCATTGTTGTATGGTGGTGGTGGTGTGGAACATGTTGGCGCTCCACCTAAATATACTGTTTCGTTATTGTACTCTGGTACCAATGAAGTATCCAAATCACTATCCTCTTCCTCTTCATCCATGTCATTGCTCAGTTTTTGAATGCGTTTATGGGCCGCCGATAATGGTGAAGTAGCTTTACGCTGAACCTTTTTACGTTTTTTAATTCTGGGATTATTTCCTTTAATGGGCGAAACAGCATCACTACTATGTGTTGTGTTCGAGTCATCAAACTCCAATTTCTTGGGTAAAGGCGATTCTGCCATCAACTGCATACTATCCAATTTAGCCATCAAAGATGATCCATCATCGTCCTCAAGGTTTTGTGTATTTTTATTGGGTGTTGCCGAGAAAGAGAATGAAATGCGTCTAGATACATTGACCAGTGGTGTGTAAAATTCTGAGTTTCCCGTACGTCTAATAACTGTTGGCGGTGTTTCAACTGTTCGCACGGAAGTCGGTGAACCAATGTCACTCTTAGAACTTCTCATTGACTTGCTACTGGGAGAGGAGGTTTTCGAAGATCGACCACTTAAGCTTCGAGTACTGTGAAATTCATCATTATCGGAAAACCCGGAATCCTGGAAAAAATATAATACATTTAATTTTTGTTTATGTGGTAATTGCTTCCAACTACTTACTTGTGATCTCAAGCTGCCAGGACTATCATGTCTTTCCCAAGACAATTTTGATATGTTGTGTTCGTCTTCCACTTCTTGAATACGCGATAAATTGCCACCGTAGGATTTGAACTGATTTAAATCCAAGGAGTGGTAAGCAATCCCGCCAAATTGTTGGTACTTTTGTTGTGTCTGTTGATGATGACTTCTTTGTTGTTGTTGCGGATTCTGCTGTTGACTAAAATATGAATACAAGCCACCACTTGTTAAACTCACAGTGTTTGGGTTTGTATTGAGCAAGTGCTGGTTGGCTGAATTCATGACATTCATGCCGGGTAACTGATTATCATCGGAACCCCACCAGACTTTACTGTAACTACGTTGAAAAGCCATCTCAATCACTGAAGTGTGTGTAAATCCCTGTAAGCAAAAATTGAAAGAAAGAATGTTAGATAAATAAACTTGTTACTGAAAATATTTACAAGTACTTGTATTTTTGCCATTTTCTATTCATTTCTTCTTTCCAAATTGTTGGAGTTAAAGTGTTGTTCGTCACAGCAAGAAAAAATAAATGCTGTGCAACCAAAGATTACTCGACAAAGAGACGGAGGAAGAGCACGATATAGTAAATGCAAAACTACTCTAAAGGGAAGCTGATTACGGTTTGACTTGCGAAGTGTTATAGTAATAGTGGCAGTTTAAGTGGATGGATTTTTTGGAACATTCTCTTTTATTTAGTTTAATGTTAAGCATCCAACTATCTGCGCCATTAGTGGCTTAAACTTCTCGTTAGTATGAATAAGTAAATTGTAAATAGTTGTTTAGAGAATCTTTACATTTCCATAAAATTTATGTTAGATTATCCTTTTCTCGCTTTTAGCCCCATCCTTTGTCCCTCTTTTTATGTATATATGTAGCTACACTAATCAGTAAGATTTACTTTGTAAACGTAATAGTTTTATGAGCAACAGATTTCAAGTAATTGCAGTTTTGCAAGGATTATAACATAATTTGAAGCTGAAATAAAAACTGTTGTATTCTTAACACTTTTTATTTATCTCGCCTCCCAGAACTACTGTTGATTGTTCATAGAAAATACGCCTTATGATGTTTTCCCATTTTCCAAATCATTCTAAATTTAATTTAATTTGGTATTTTAAATTATTTATACGTTATCCTTAAACAGAAATATTTAAATAAAACTACATTTGGTAATTTATTGAATTTTTTTCGTTATATGTATTTGTTTTTTATTAAATACAGATACTAAATTAATAGTATGTATAAACTACATTACTATTGTAGTTATTGTTATTAGTATTTTATACAATTATATATGTTTGATGTCGATATTTATTTGTTCTATACATTAAAGCATAAAATAATGTTTTCCAAAGATTTTTTTTAATAATATAATAATAATAATATAACTTTCACAAATCACCCCTGATTTAAATTTAATTAAATGGTGAGTAATAATAAATTTTCTATTAGTTTTAAAATAACTAGAATATACATGTGTGTGGTAAATTTACGTTAGAAATTAAACATTTCATTCTCAAACCTCAAAGATTTTCTGATTAAATATATTATTTAAAAGATGTTTGTATGTATGATATTTAATTTGCTTTTTAATAACTTTTAAATTAAAACATGAAGAAATACTGTTTTTTTTTTTTTTTTTGGTTTATTGAAACACAAACATAAAGTAGAAGGAAAATTCATTTCTAACAAATCATCACATTTTGTAAATTGAAACTGAACTTAAATAATACAAGTAATAATACGAAAAACAAACAAAAGACAATAATAAAAAAGCAACTAGAATAAATAATGAAAAAGGACTAAAACAAAAGAGGAAAACAATTTGTAAAGCATGAATAAAAGGATAAATGAACATTAAAAATGAAAGTCCTTGTTGTAAAGTTTGTTTGTTTGTTTTAATTTATATATGTATGTATGTCTGTATATGTGCGGGCGTTAGTTGTTAGTAGAATTATTAGAAATAGTTGTAGAAGTAGATATGATTTCGACTAAAACTATAAATTGTTAACAATGTTTTGCTTTTGTTTTCGCGTTTATTAAGAGCACTTCTTTTAGAGTTGAATTTTTGTTTTGGTTTTCATTCTGCTGAACGCAAATAAATGTTATAAGAAGCAGAAGGTAATGATGAAAAGCTTTAAGAAAAACAAATAATAATTCTTGCTAATAATAAGTTTGTATGTAAGTAAGTAAAGATTTTCTTGATTTATGATATGAACATTTTCATGGAGAAAACGAAGCGATAACTGTTTAGTTCATTTCATAGAAGTGGAAGAACGAACAGCAAGTTAAAAACAAAAAGTAATTTTTGAAATCACCAAAGGGATTAGACTTTCGTCTCTCCAGAGAGGAGCTTTAGGAAGACTGAGGCCATCATCTCACCACATCGTTAACAACTAAAGTGGATGTGTAGATTTGTTCTTGTTTGGCCTGTATGAAGGTTGATTTTGTGGTGATTACTTTTTTACCATCAACGTCTTGTTCTATGCCCTCATCCGATTGTTTATGATCGGGCTGTTGATGAGGCTGATTGGGAGATGGTTGGTCTTCAATGCAACCCACAGTGGTTACATGGACATTAGTTTTCGATAAATGTAATTGGGCCCTTTTTCTTTGCATGGGAGAGCGAGTACTGCCAGTAGTCGACGCTAAATCGTCATCGCTGTAGTCGTCAGTGGTGCTGCCCAGGGTACTGCGATGAGAGGACATGTATGATTTCTGTGGCATTAAATTTCGCGAATGCGATGAAACTCGGACAGCCGTTGATGAATTAGCTGTTATATCTTCTTCAGATATATCATCGAATGCCGGTGGAGGCGTTGATGATCCAGACATGAAAGGCGGTCTGTTTGAACTAACACTTTGCGATGGCGTTCTCTGAGGCGTGCGCGCAGTGGCATTCGATGTCTTTCGTTTTGAAGGGGAATGCTTCAGTGGAAATGTTGGTGTTTTCTTAAACACTGTTTTACCCATGAAATTCTGGAAACGTTGGGCATAGAATGATGGACGGCATACCGAAACGGTGTCTCCATTGTATATAATGGCTTTAAAAGTGTGCTCCAGTTTCTTTTCCAAGCGATAAGATTGCAAAATATCAATGATACCGATGTATAATATCAAACGCTCATCATTTTCTGATCTGGCGGGGATGCCACCTGCGGGTATGTCCTCGTCCTCTTCAAAGGGCGTGTCTATGTCTGCGGTAATGGATTCCATCGCCGTTGAATGAGCCACTAATCGATGGCGATTCATGCTGCGCGAACGATTCAAAGCGGAGCCTGCCGCTGCAGAACTCGAAGCAGCAGCATTGTACACTTGATCTGCTTCAGGGGCTTCGTCTGCTTCTCGAATCTCATCAGCCCTTTGCAATTTGGCTCTGGCATTACGAATGCGCTCTTCTCTCTTCTCTTTGGCTGCCAAATCGAGATTGTGTATACCCACTAGCAGAGAATAATCCATTATTTGAAAACTTTCCAAAACCATACAGTCCCTCTGTATGGTCTTAATAAGTGCATTGTATTTATCTGTCTCCAAGAAGATACCGTTCGGATGATGTTCCATAAAATCTAAATCCTTGTAGGTGGGACTGGCTTTTTGTCGTTCTGCCTTTGAGGCTTTTCGCCGGAATGTTGATCCTTTTAAGTCGTATTTCGCATGCATTTTAATGTCTGATGGCAGCAAATTGTTCATGGCCACCAGTCGGACATTTTTAGCATTATAGTGAAAGCAATAGAGCCCAAAGAATTTTGGCAGCAAGGTGCGTGGGTTTTGGGAAAGATTCATATAATAACCTGGTAATAGTTTCTGGAGAAATTCACATTCCTTCTTTTGAACAGTCTTGATTATGAACTCGTCATCATCGGTTAAATAGAAGATTGAGCCGGAAGCTCCAGGATTCGATAGCTGTCGCAGAGGAGCAGCACACATGGACATTAGAAAATCATCTGGCGCTATGCCAAATAGATCTCGAAAATAACGAAAAGCTATTGGAGCGTAAACCTTGAAACGAAATTCACTATAATGATGGGCAGGAGTAATAGAAGAGCCGTCGGGCGGAAATGAAATCGTTTCCATTTCAAAGAAATCATTCATTAGTAAATCCCTCTTTGGTTTTGAAGCCAAACTTCCCACCGTGTGTTGAATACCCAGCTGTATGGAACCCATTATCTGTTTACTTTGGATTTTCTTATAAGTCACTTCGCCCTCGTCGTCCACACGACGATGGCCGATTTTCTTCTCATGCTTCCCCGCTGAAGACGGATTTCGCGATACACTTTTGTCCAATGTCGACGATGCACTTTTGAGTCTCTGCTGTTGACTTATCTCTTGCTGCAGAAACGATGTCGTCTCATGTCCGCCATGAGCACTTGCTGCCTCACTGAAAAGTTGACGCGACGTAGATGGCATAACTGCCAGGGTGCTCAAGGGGTAGGGATTCAAATGTGTTTCTTCATTATCTGAAACTGCAGATATTGCTGACATTGAGTTAGGTTTTAATATAGTTAAGGTGGCAGTGGTCATTGCATTCGTTGCGTTCGAAGTGCTGGCCAGATTATCATCATCATCATTATCATTTTTTATTTTGGTATTGTTTGGTTGTCTAAATGGTTCTAATTCTACAGAATCAATAACACCAATTTCGCTGGCCATTTCTCTGCTCAAAATGCTGTAAATAGACGTTTCAAAAATAAAGGAAAAAGGCAAATTGGGTAAAAAGCGAAGAAATCACACAAAACTGCGTCTTTGTAAGTTTACAAAAAAAGAGAAACGTTTACGAAAAAAGAAAAAGTTGCTTGTCAAAAGCCGTTTAAACGGAACTACTTCCGTATCGAGAACGTATGTATATATGTATGTAAGTGTAACCAAACATATTTAATATAATATTGCAGTTAAAACATAAATATACAATGAATTGTATAAAAATTTAATAAAACAAATGCATTCTGAATTTTAATTAATGGCAATTGTATGTAATGTTTTGTACTTTTGTTTCGTACAGGGGAAATACCCTCAAGCAACAAAAAGCCAAATATGTAATAAATTTTGAGGAGTGTTTTCAATTCTCATTATCATTATTTTATGTGCGGTTCTCTCACATTCTATTCAAGATAAATTACTCATGCTGAACTTGGCGAGTGCTGTTGCTGCTCGCATTTTATTGTTCATATACAATTAAAAGCTTTGTATCGGATTTATTGCTATTATTGTCTTTTTTGTTTTACATGAATTGTATTATAAACAATTAGAATAAACTTAACAAGTTTTAATACATATCTGTTTTATAATATAAATCATTCAATTCAATCACGACTCCATGCCATTTTTATTTTGTTTTGTACCCTATTCAATTTGTTGTTGTTTAACGATGCATGATGAGTCACAGTTTACATTTTACCCCAAAAATTCTTCTTATGAAGAGTATAAACAAGTTATTAATCGGCCGGCCAATAATAGAAAATATTTATAAAATTAGTTAGAATAAAAATGCATAAATTTAAGATGTAAATTAAATGACTGAACTGAATAAAAATAATGCACTTGTAGATTATTTTATACAATTAAGTGGATAATGAGACTTTTTAATTATTTTAGTTACATTTTTTACAGGCAAAAAGTTACTTCAGAAAATTTAAAATCTCTATCACGAACAACAATTTGAAAGGAAATTTATTTATGTATCTGATTATTCAGTTGCCATTAAGTTTTTTTTTTTTTTGTGAAAACGAAATAAAATTATACAACAAATATGTATAAAAACCAGTGAACCCGTAAAAAATATAAATGATTCTAAAAACTTTTGGATATTTTTATCATCAAACACATATAGAGGACAAAAATGGACCATGCATAATATGTATATGTACATATGTATATCGTCACCTAAAACACAAACGTTGCTATAGGTATAACATTTTGCAAAAGCTCAAAACTATTTAAAATGGAAAGTTTAGTTTCGCGTTTTCAGCGCGATTTATTTTTCTTCAAAAGACATATTGTTTAACGTTATATTTATCAGTTGTTCTGAAAATTATTTAATTGAAAACGATTTTTGTTATTAAAAAAGCTAATTAGGTAGTCGGAGTATTTTTTTTGCAATAGGTACAATCCTAAATGAAAAATATGATTTTGAATTTTTTTTTTAGTTGGGGCCATTTGCGTTTTTAGGGAAGATATGTATGTATGTATGTACATAGCCTTGTTGACAACACAAGGCAAGAAATAAATTATAAAAAATAATCATTTTTGTTTTGAAACATATTTATATCTTATGGAAAAACATAGGGTTTCTAAATATGACAAAAGTAGCAAAAAGCTCATTGGGGAATATTTTTATTGGATATTGAACTGTGCTAAAACAGATCAAAATTGTCATATGTATTGACATTATAAAAGTATTATTTAAAAAAAATCAAATGTGGCAACTCTAAAATATTGTTTATTCAAGGGTAAAAATACAACACTGACTTTATAACTCGCCAAAAAATTGTACTTTTGACGCTGTATTGAAACTTGATTTCCAATGTATTTGTGAGCATATTTTAATGTAATTATCAAATCGACCACTTAACAATTATGACATTCATATTTAATTAGTGAATAAAGTGAAATTCGGAAAAAAATATTCCAGCAAGACAGGTAATGTACCGATTGACAATGTAGTTTTATTAATATCGTTTCTCTCTTATTGTTATAACTTACAATTTTTTAAATATTTTTACTCACTTTTATTTGAAATTGCAAAAATTTTCACAAATTAAATTTTGACCACCAAATAAATTTAGGTCGATCGTAAATATCATAAGTATTTTGTAAAAACGTTTCTTTGATGTCTCACGTAAAAATAATGAATGAAGCAACAAGTTCGTCTTTCTGTTTTGCTTTTTTTACAAAAGAGCAGACGGCTCCAACACACGTACACACAGCACCAATACAAAAACTGGCAAGAGCAATGACGAACAAATAAAGCTGACTAGAGTGTATATCTTTTTTTAATCACATTTCTTTTCCACTATTCATTTATTATCCATAATACAATATCCAAAGTATGTTTTTGCTAATGATGACTTATACATACATATATATGTATTTACGAATTAGATATTTGTCTTTTTTAATTTCCATTAAACCATTTATAGGAGGGGCGTTCTTCTTGTTTTCGTTTGATTGAAACACTCGTATTTTGAATATGTTTTATTGTGTGATATTAATAAAATACTTCTTATGGTTTTCTTGTTAAAATTTTAAAGAATAATATGTATTTAATTATTATTTTTTCGCGTTAGCAGCTGTTTTACGAGTTGTTTGCGTCGATGAAAATTTCGTTATTAAAATGACAGGCGCTTTATGATAATGCGACGAGTAAGTTTGTTGAAAGAGAGCAGATAGTGAGAGCAAATCCATTATGTTTAAATTTAAAATGCGAATAAAAGAGATAGATATAATCCAATGTTCAGTGTTGTAAAACGTAATATACTTTATATATATTAATATGGAAGGTTGCCATATTTTGATCAGAACTGGGGTAGAGAAGTACCACCGAATGGAATAGTTATCAATATTAGTAAACTGCTAACAGAATTATAGTCGATTAGTCACGTATCTGAACGTTTTATTTTTTCTAAATAGTAATAGTCTTGGTAATAAAAACTGACTGGCAATTCTCGATAATTCAATATTTAAATGTTATAGGTATGCACTGAAAATCTCGATCAAACACGTCCACACACATGTATATATTTATGGATATAACTACACACATAAAAGATCAGCAAACTTCACACCCAGAAGAGAATAAAATCTTAACCCACTTTTAATAAATTTAAACATTTTTATAAAATGTATACAAACACACAAAAGCCTTTATTTATATTAAAATAAATCTATTATTGAATTTAAATATCTTTACGATAACAGAAAGAAATTTGCATATAAATTAAACTTAAAAAAAATTAAAATAAACAACAAAACTTTACATTATTCATATAAAGCTGCTAACTGATTTGAAAATAATAAATAATGTTTTGATGCATTTTTAAAACTTATAGAAAAACTTATTCTTAAAAAATCAATATTGTCTACTTTCCTTTTAATGTTTCCCGCCTTTTATAGTTAAAAAACGCTAGATTTGCAATAAATCTTAAAATTGTCCACATTGTAGACCAGTGTTCTTTTATAAAGTTTGTTGTGGTTTATATTTTTCTATATTTGTGCTTTTGTGTAATTAAATAAAAATTTAATAATAGTTTGTGAAATTACAAAAAGATGACTACATGTTTCAATTATTTATATCGCAGTATAACATTGTACAATATTATAATCCAATTAAAAGTTAAAAACAACAACTACACATTCTAACAAGAATTCATGCTAGGGAAAAATTTTCTAGATACCTATAAGTACATGGTAGGTACTACAACGTTGGTAACATTAAATTATTTTTTTTGTCTAATATATAACTAAACCCAGTGTAGTTCGCTATCCTCATCTTAAAATTGTTCTTTAGTCCGCTCGCCATTTAGTGTGTATGGTTTAAAGACCGCATATTATAACTTCCCAGATATGAGGGTCATCCATAAATTTACTTTGTTTGGAACTTCGTCCGAAGTAATAATTAGCTTTTCAAATTTCTAGAAAATCGATTCATTGATTAACAAACGAAAAAAACGCACATGCATTTTTATATATTAAATACGTACACAAATACTTATTCCTAATTTTATTAGCTCAAAAGTTAATCTAATAATGTTTCGTTGCTATTCTATACTATTGTTGGTTGTAAATACGTATGTATGCACTCGTATTAATGATTGTGTAGTGTTGAACATTCCAACACGGAAACTTGTGTTGAATTTTAATTATTTAATTTTTTAAATCATAAAAATACTTGAGCCTTTTTGGATTAGATTATTTGATTTCAAATAAATCAAAACAGTCTAAATAGACATTTCACAGTAAATACTAAAGTGTATATGTATGAATCTTTTGAAAACTTAAGATGTGCCTAAATTTTGGTTAAAATACCATAATTTAGTTAAGAATAAAAAAAACATTCTCTTTATAAGCAAACGATTCCATGTTCGAAATATGAAAACCCGGCAGCTAAATAACGATTCTATAGGTATAAAAAAATCCTTCAACATTTCCTTGTGATGAAATTCTTTATAATTTGAAATTATTATTTTCTAAAGTTTTAAGTAAGTTTCAATATTGTCTTAAAAAAAAACACTTGTTTATATTCACAAAAATACATTCAGACATACATGTATTTTAATAACAATGTAATTAAAATCTTTAAAGCCAGTTGTACTGATTGCGATGATTATTACATAGACTTCGCCTCATTCTCATGATTCACGGTAAGTGTTTATTTATTTATTTAATTTATTTATTCTGTACTTTTTTTCTATAAAATTCTTTTGAAAAAACTTTTACATATGAATGTTTGAATGAGAGTGTACGTTGAAAAATACAAAGAAAATGATTGTAATTTAAGTGATTCGATATTAAATGTCAACATTGTTCTTTTTCTTTTTTTTTTTGCCATATTTAGAGCAAAAGAATAGAATATCAAACAGACCAGGCGGACGGACAATGACTTATTAAAACGATTTTTCGAAATACATAAATAAATATAAATGGTCATCATACTATATATTTACAAACATGTGTAAGTAGTTCTAAATCGTATTTGTGTTTTCAAGTTTTGTTTTCTTGGTTCGATTATTGGTTTTGTCAACTATTTATTGCCATAATTATGGCTAATTTCTTATTAAGTAACGGTGGCATATAAAGATTTCTTTTCTATTGACTATTAATTGTAGAGATAAAACCCCCAGACCAGAGAAATAAATAAATAAATACTTAAGTCAGTTTTAATAAAAAAATCTTAACAGGTTCTGACATACATAAATACTAGTTCATACTGTTTAATTTGGCTTTTTTCAAACTTGTCAATAATAGAATTAAATAGAAAAGATTATCTGTCATTAGAAATTTCAAATATTTTCACTTTAAAATTTACAAATATGGTGGTTACTGAATTCATTACTTTGAACTAAACGTTCTGTTTGTTTGTCAATTGTGTTTTATAGTATTTCTAATAAAATGGAAAAAATACATAATATCATGTAGTGTCATTGTACATTAGTAAAGCTTTTCTTTTAATAGTTTTTTTAAATACATATGTATGTAGGTATATGTATTTTAAAAATTCATGGCACATTTTTTGTTGTTTTTGTTCAATATTTCCTAATAAACAATTTGTGTACATACTATGAATGTTTGTTCCAATACCCAATATCGTTGTGTATTTTTTTATATTTAGTTTATTATTATTATTTTTGTTTTCCATTTTAATATTTATTTGACATTGTATTGATTTATGGTTAAATATATGTTTGTATAGATGTTGGTGGCACAAGTGTTTATGGCAATTGCCAAAAATAAAGAAAATTAAAAATATAATAATATGTATAAATAAAATAGGCTTTATTGTTTTATATCGATTTTTTGCCAATAATTTAAATATTTTAAATCTGTTTTGATGTTTTTATTTCCTTTTTTGTTGCTTTGATATAAATCATTTTCTAATTGATATTTAAGTGATAAAAAATCTTTTTTATATTAATTTGAATAAAAATAAAATAAATGCTTTCACACTCTCATTAAATGTAGTTTTTATTTTGTATTATCATTAAATTTATTTTAATTTAAATTGTTAATTAATAATTTCATTGCTCAATATTCAGTTTTTAAATGTTTGAAACATAAAATGTTAAAAAATACACACTTAGATGAGGGAATCTCAACTTAGATCCACACGAAAACATTAGTAAAAAACCAAGCAAAAAAAATTAAAATACCACATCCATTGGTCAGTATACAAATACATATATATGTACATATTTTGTATTTCCAACTTTTATTCATGCATTTAAATTCTTATAGGAATTTATAAAAGTCGTTGTTGAGTGTTTTTTTCTTCTTATATTTGTTTGTATGTACGTTTCGCTGAAATTTGAATATGATTCATCACATAATAAACAATCGTAATTATCACAAAATTCATATTATTACTATAAATGTACAAAGGTATAGGTATAATTCCAATCTTAACTATAGTTAGTAATTTAATTTTTAGTAGTTCTAACCTCCACCTAGATAGGCTTCATTTGATGCGCCCTGACATACTTAAAATATAATGACACCAAAAAAATGTATGGCTTTTCAATACTCGAATATATTTTGTTGCTTTTTTATTCGTTATGACTTATTAAATATCAAATAATATGTAATAATAATCTGAAATGTAATAAAAGGGCTCTGTAATGGGCGAATGAATAATTGTATAAATGATAAGAGTATTGATAACACGAATTGAAACTGTTTCAATACATTGTGCATATTATGTATGTATGTATATGCGCAATAATAAAAATGTCAAATATTTTTAAGAAGACAATAAAAAAAGCTTATGAAATATTTTGCTGACGAATCATATTTTTTTTTTTTTATTAAAAAAACATAAAATAACCCTTTTTACCTTTTATGAATGTATGAAAAGAATATACATACATATAACATATCTACATACATATATTTGGAATTAAAAGTTTATCATGAGGACTTTTATTTACACACTTAAATAAAATACACACTTTTTTAGCTCCCTGTGAAATCATAAAAATTTTTAAAGAAACCTTTTTTTAACTTAGAATTTAAACTTGACTCAACATTTTTTACTAAACCTACCTTTTAATTATAGCTACAATTATCCACTGAAGTTTGGCTTAAGTAATCCAATACTCGTTCGTAATCCAAGGTATTCCACAATTATTGTTAACTTGCACTTTGTTTTATAGAATCTTAATAATTTGTTTTCAATAAAAACGTTCTTTTTTCTCTTGTTATTTAAAGTATTTTCAACACGTTCTTTAGTATTTGTATTTATGTGTATGTTTTATTTTTTAACTTTCAATGGCAAATGTTTTTTTTTTTTTTTTTTTGTTAAAATGTTAAATTAATTGTATTCTAATTGTTCTAGCCGATGTAAACAAACTTATTAACCCCCTTTAAAAAAACACGCACAAACTAAAACCCCGTTTTTAGAAAAATAAAATTGTAACGAGCGTGCGCACACGTCTTCACTTTAGCAATGTTAATCACGTTGTGTTAAGACTCTTTACCCTCGTGCACTCAGATGCCTTCGACTCAAAGGTAAACAATTTTTGAGTGAATTTAAAATTTGTATTGATAACAAATTGTGCTCAGACCGGCACTGCTCACTGAAGTGAATGAATGAATGAATCGACTGGTGTCAAATTCAACACTCATCATCAACTTAAAGTTGTTTTGTACGTAATTGATGACGCATTGCTTTGTATATTTGTTTTTAGATACAGATCATAAAAAGAATTATTTCATATTGATTCTGATTGATATAATTTCAATAAATGTTAATTCGTTGACCAGTTTTTGATAATGGTGTCAGGTTCAATATGTTTCGCTGAATTTAATATTAGAAGTCGACAAAATATATTACATATTATGTAAATTTTGCATTATAAGTTGGTACCATTTTTCCATTTGCACAGAATTCCATTCTGATCGAGAGTAGATCACAAAAGTAACCTTACCCTTTTTTTCTGAATTTCACTTTAAAAACTGAAAGTGGTTTTACAGTTTTTTCAGTGAAATTAAATTTTGTTTATTATTATTTTAATCAAAGTACAAAAAAAGTTGTTGTAAATTCATATTTTTTTAAATTATTTCTTTTTTTGCGAATCAACAAAATTAATGGAAGTTTAATTTTTATTTACTTTATATTCATTTCATATATAATTTACATATGTATTAACCACATAAATGAAGAAATTAAATGACCAGTTTATGAGATATGACCATTTGGGTTTATAAAAAATATGGTTTTAGATTTTAACAATCGAATTAATTTATTAATGTCAACAAACCTGTATAGAAAACTTAAAAACGATTCCAGCCGATTTTAAAGGTTTTAAAATATTTTTTGCATATTTTGCAAATGGTAAATCAAAATTTGCAATCAAATCAAAAATAATATAATTTAAAAATAAAAAATCGTTAAACTTTACCGGTTTTCTGTAAAATTTGTATCACATATCGCACACCCAGTACTAAAGTGACCCAAATCAAAATTTTATTTTTGCGTTTTTAAATTCTTTATGCCTTAAGTTTAAGCCTTAAACTATGGACAAGATACTTATTTATCTCAAAAAAATATTAGTGTATTTTGTTGTTGTTAACTGTTCAATAAAAAACGTTATGCATTTCTTCATGTTTCAGAATTTGTAAAAATTTGTTCCCTTTTCTGAAAAAAATATTTTTTGAGTATGTCACTTTTGTACTGGGTGTGCGATATGATTTGTTTAAAACGTAATTTAATAAAGGAAAATTTAATAAAATTTTCAAATCTGTTTTTCATGAAACAATGTTCCTTGGGCTATGCTAGTCTTATAGTAAATGAGCAGTCAGATTGGGGAAAAATTTCCGGGAATTTTCACTTGGATAAATGATTTAAGTTCGATGGTAAAATAACAAATTATATGTACATATTAAACTTTTTAAAAACTCTTTTCTTTTTTGAAAATCTCTAAATAATGTAACGTTTGTCGTCTGAGTTTTTTTAATTTCGCATTAAGCATGAATTCACTGTTTGAAAATCTGACATAAACAATCCGAGCTTGCTTTGCTTATATAAAATTTATTCAACAAACTACAACAGCGTTTACGATTACCTGAGTTTACTGAGTACAAACAATTTACTCATTTTAATCACTAAACAGCTGTCATTGTTTCCAATAGTACTGTGTTACTCACTCACTAAGTCACTCACTGAGTGTACTCATTCTCCCAATATTTCATATGTCTGTCTGTTCTGTTGTTATTAAAGTTCATTCTATTTTAAATAAGAACTAACTGTTCCGCATAATGATTTTCTTTGTTTAAAATATTTTCTTATTTTTATACTGTTTTTGTTTTTTCTAAAACGATTTGTTTTAACGCAACTGCTCTTGGGCACACGCGCTCTTTTACTGATGACACATTTATATACAGCTGATGATCACAAAATATCCCCTGTAACATCATCAGCAACATCTAAATATTGACTGCTAAAGAGAAAACCAAACGGTAAGTTGATTAAAACCAAAACAAAATACTTTAATAATCTGCTGAGGTTTTTGTGATAATAAAGAGCAGATGTTTTTATTTAATTCTGGATCTGGAACAGTGCTATGATTATATTTGTAAATATCATATTTACACATTTTTTGAAAACTATACAACACTTTCACTTTAATTCTGTTGTTTCGTACAAATAATCTGTTATCAGTTTAACAAATATCACTCTTGTTTTATTTCCTTACAGTCGCTTACTCTCTCTGTTTCTCACATTTTAAAGCTTAAGTTTTTTCTGATAGTTTTCATTCCGAAATTATTATTGAATTATATTTATGTATTTGTTTTTGTGTCTCTTTCTACCTTTAAATTGACCTATAATTCGTTTTTAGTTTGTTTATTCTTTATTCGTTTTTTATTTATTTCTTTGCTGCTGTTGATTTTGGTTTATGTGTGTGATAAGAATTTTCAATTAAGATTCTTTCTAACATAAAACGCTTTTAAATTGTCTCTCATTCAAACTGACAGTGTAACGAATTGCAATAAATATGTGTAACTACATTGTGGTCAATGGGTTTTTTCTTTAGAAGACCAAAATATGGGCTCATCTGAGAATAAATCATTATTTTACAATGGCAACAGACATTGACTTTGAAATATTTAGCTTTTCTTGCCTATTTTATGGTATACTTATTATTGTACAGTTTTTTAACAGTTTACTTTTGTAATTTAAAGGAGTTTTAAATATCTATTCCAAGCTCATTTAGATTACATATGTATATTGTTTGCTATGTAACAATTTAGGATTTGAATTTGGATAGATTTAGTCCGAAACTAACATCCTATATATATATGAATTAAAGAAAAAATATTGTAAATATAAACATGCATATGGGGAATTTCGATGTCTTCCCATTAGGATGAAATTTGCACCAAGGTTAGTACTATGGGATACTCGGTCAAGAATTACTGGAGTCAGAGGGGTCAAAGTTGGACATTTTGGTCATACAGGGTTTTATTTAAATGAGTGTAACTTTTCACCTATTGGTCCTAGCAAAAATTGTCCAAAAGCGTTCAGATAGGTAATTGTTCATTCTTTCCAAAAAAAAAATTTTTTTTTTTCAAAATGGACATTTTTTGCTTTAAGAAAGCTTATCTATCAAAAAAAAAATTTAACTCAAGAATATTTTTTTTTATATTTTGCACTTAATGTTCCCCTATTTTTTCAAAATGGACGTTTTTGTTGTTTTTTTTTTTACTCAAAAGAAAACTTAGACCATTTCCTTTAAGAGCTGAAAGTTTGTGTCTGACCTGCTGTCCAATAGAACTAACCTTAGTGCAAATTTCGTCAAAATCGATTTTTTGAGATGGTTCACTTGACATGAAATTCCCCATATGTATGTAGTTATGCATTTTATTGCACATCAATTTAAACAAATACAAATTATGATAAAAACATAAATACATACAAAAGGTTTTTATTTACACATACAGTATAATACAATTTGTAAATAACATTTGATTGTGTTATAAACAACATCAAATTCAATACCCTTATAATATTTACTTAATATGCATTTAAATGTGAGATATCAACATTTTATATCAAACATTTTGATTTAAACTTTTTATCTATATCATTTTTTATTTATATTTTTGCAATGTACACAAAAATACAAATACATAAATGAATTCTGAATTAAAAAAAAAAGCTTCAAAATACAAGACAAAAAATTAAATGAATTTGTCAGTTGTATTGAAAATGTGTTTATGTCTGCAAAGTTGAAATAAGATAAGTAAATGTTATTTCAACAGTATTTATCAAGAAGTGCAAGTAGAAAAACTTAAACCAAAACAAAAAAGTCAATCAAAAGAATATCATTTGAAACTTTTTTGGATTTCTATTATTTTTACAAGACTGACATAACTCAGAAAACATTGTTTCGTGAATATTAAATAACTTTTAAACAAATCATGGGATTTGAAAAATTAAACCTAAATCATCCGAATTTAAACTAAATTTAACGTTTACAACAAAAAAGAAGCGAACATATTTTGTAGTAATCAGTTCAAATAACTAGTTATGTTAGTCTTGTAGTAAATGAGCGTTATGTATTTGATGTTGCCATATTCAATTTCTTTTTCTAACTTTTAATAACATTTTCTTGTAAAAGTTTCCGGTAGAAAATTTTGTAAGATCTGCCTCTAAAGAACCATATTTTATGACATTTTACTGTTTCTTCAATATGTTTTAAATATATCATGTTATTTAAAAAATAAACCCCGATTGAAATAATAAAAGTTAATATGTATGTTTCACTTCTAAATGTCTATTACGTACATATGTAAATATTTACGATGTAGGAGCATTTTTTCTTGATACTAATTTTATATAAGAGCATTCATTTATAAAGAGGATTCATTCATTATGTTGTATAGATATCAATTCGTAATTTTGCACTGCAATTTCAGATTTTAAGAAATATTACGTATAATAAAATATATCCCCAGATTTAAAAATAATCTCATGTGGCAATAATACACGTACTCATCCATGATGTTGCATGTTATTTTCTCCACTTTAAAAAATCAAATAAACATTCGAAAATACAGTTGAATGAACTCTGTTTACCTTCTTGTACTCAGCATGGCACTCATATGTACATCAAGATGACTAAAATGGAATAGTAAAAAAAATTTTGGAGCATTCTAGCAATGCCACAAAAATAAGACTGTAAATGTAAGTAAACAGAAGATATTTAACACAAACACACATACACACTTACACAAATAGAAGGACTAAGAATGCAACTGTAAAAAGCAGAAAGCAAGAACTAAATGAAAACTACACAGATGGAGGAATACTCCGAAATACATTCAAACATAAATTTGTTGATCCAACAACAAATACATATTTTAAATAGGATGTTGAAAGACTCCGTCATGTCTCGCGAAACAAATAAATTAAGCTGCAGCAAAATACACACCAGTTTAAATAAACGATTCATAGACAAAATAATAAAAAAAAA